GCGCAGCTGCCGCTTCTCGGCCGCCATCCTCCTCTCGGTGCTGATGAGCGACTGCAGGTACTCTGAGGATTTGCTCAGGATCACCACCTTGGGGGTCTTGGGGCAGCTGGCAAGCCCGGGCACCTGGTCCCTCAGGGCCAGGAAGCGGGAGCGCAGGTCGTTGCGCCGCTTGCGCTCCAGGTAGTTGTGGTTTTTCCTCTTGGCCACGTCCTCGTTGTCGGAGCTGGGGCTGCTGCCGGTCTTTGCCAGGCCGGGCTCGGGCAGGGTGACAGCAGGGGCGGGGTCTGCTGGTGGCTCCTCCTCGTGCTGCTGGGGTGGCTGTGGCTGGGGACAGGGCTCGGGTGGGGAGCGGGCGGCGTAGTTGTGCTGCTGCTGGTGGACGGAGATGTGGAAGTGTTTCATGCAGGGGTCCAGGGGGTCGGCGCGCAGCGTGATGGTCACCGGCTTCCTCAGGCTGAGGGGCTGTCTCTTCTCCACCATCACCACGTCGATCTCTTCACCTTCTGCTCAAAATGGACGTGGCAAAGAAACAAGACACAGTCGCCATCAGTTGGGAGTCACTCATCACCCCTCTGGGGCTCCCCACGTGAGCCCGTCGCTGCCATCCCACTCAGGTTTGCTCGTGGCCTGCAAAGCCACTGTGTGACCTCCAGAAGGGGTTGGGTGGTGCAAATGCTCTTCCAACACCACCACGAGGAAAGGAGCTTTCCCACCACATTTGGATGCCTAGTTTTGGGATGGGGCTTTACTCCTGCCTCACTTCAGCACCAGGAGAAACATCTCCAGGATAAAGGATTACGGGGCAAGAAACACCCAAGCACAAGGGAGGGGAGAGGAGCAGGATGCTGGGGCAGCCTCACTCCAAAGTTCATCCCTGTCGGGTGCTTTCATGGCCCATTGGAATTGTAAATGAGGGAGGTGGGGGCAGAGCTGCCCTTTGTTCCCCTTGGCTGCTGCTTCCCACTTCGGTGGCTTGTTACTTTTCACAAGTGATAAACCCCATTCAGCCCAGGCTTCCCGGGGACAGAAGGGACA